CACTCATATGTATTGTTATGCCTGACTTGAATAACTTGCCGAGACTCTGTCATTCATTTTGTCCTCTGTAAAGGGCATTTCATTTGTAATCTTAGTGTATCTTAAAGAGGATATCCTCGACTTTTCAGAGACACCATATGTCCTATAGTTAGATACAAAAAAGAAAAGAAAAGAGACAGCGTAATGCAACATTTTATGGAAAGAGAAACATCAGGTATTTTTATTTTTTTTTATTTTATTTTTTATTTTTTATCAAACAACATTTAGTGTGTGTTTTTTTTAATTAGGTATTAGATATTAGAAATTAGATATTATTTTTCAAAAAATACATGTTTGATGTCTTCTTTAAATTATTATAATATATATTTTCATGCTCACAAGTAAATGTGAAGGAACATTTTTTTTATTTTGCTGGATATGTAATTTAACAAAGACTGGTGAGGAAGTGCTAAATTAAGTAAGCGACAGTTTATTTAAATTAGTGAAATTAGTGACTGATCCATCTCTATGGCACATTATACATGGGCCAACTGCAATGTTGTAATGGGACCACAGATCTATAATGACTGGATTGTTTATTGCATTCTGCCGTCATGCGGTGAAGCCATCAGAAGTGTTCGAGTGGCCATCTTACTATTCCCTACCGGCAGAGAGAATCATTGACTGACAGCCAAAACACTGATTTAAAATCACCTGATTTGAAGCGTATCAGGAATCACAGGATTAGTTTTTAATATACATGTATGTAAATTAATTTTACTTCAGATGTTATCTGCAATGTTTGTGGTCTTTTTGGGCAGGATAAGAGATATATTGAAATTGTTAAGGTGGGTGTATCTGCTGTGCACTGCCGACACAGGTAACTGATACAACACAAAATATATTTCTTTATGTACGGAATTATGCAGGAAATATTAAACATGAACATATATCTGGATTTAGTATCAGACATTGAATTGAATATACAATGTATAATACAATACAAAGCCTCTGTTACTATATTGTTCTATGTTGTATTGAAATTCAAAGCTTACCAGGCATCATCGTGGAAATAAAGCTTCATATCTTAAAGTCCGTACCATATTTAGTCAGCGTTATTTCTCTGAATAAGTTATGATGTGTATATGTTTAATGTCCTGATTGAGCAACATCTGTTTCAGGCTCTTAAAGATTGTGCAAATTCTTTGGCATTTTACTAGCATTACCGTTTCCATAGGAGTAAAATGCTATGTATATATGTTGAATTAAATATTAATTTAATCAGCATTTAAATCATTATCTGCTTCAAAATGAATGCTGTTGAATAAGTCATTGTTGAAACTTTTGCAGTTAGCCTACAGTACGAATAAAAACACTAAAAACACTAACAAAATTACATAAACCGTGAATAACTGTACAAGGCAAATTAATTTATATGTGTATACAAAGCATAAATCTCTATTCATAATTGAGAATTAGCACTTTGTCATTTGTAATATGTTGAGGATTTCATCCATCAAATGTTTATCATGTTCATCTGATGTATGCTACTGTAACTTTTTAATAAGCATGAGGAAAAAAACAGTGTGTTTAAAAAACAGTGCTTCTCTTTTATTTAAAGACTCCAAGTCCAAAGATCCCAAATGAAAATATGCACAATATGGACTTATTATTAGAGCACAGTCAGGTCACAGTCAAACCTAAACATACCCATTTTATAACAAATATAAAAATGTATAAAACATAGACTGAAATATGCAGAAAAAATACAATTTTAGTAACAATAAAGCATTACAAAAATATATTTTGAGTCGCTAATCCCAATCCTACCTCTAAACCTTACCATAATCTTTTCTTAAAATTTGTACAGTATGAAGAAAAATGTCTCCGATTACTCAACTTAACTGTAGTTCCCTGAGAGAAGGGAATGAGACATTACATATGGGGAAACCCCTTTCCTTTGAAATGCTGAAGCCTGATTGAATCACTATATTGCTCTGCAATAGCCATTGGCGTTCGAGCATTCACCTGATTCGCGGGCTCAGCCACTATATAGGTAATGTTGGGTGCCAATTTACCTCAGAAACTTTCACCTGAGCGAGAGTCGTTGAGGCTCTGAGTGAGCTTTTCACAAGGCAGTTTACATAATGTCTCGTTCCCTTCTCTCAGGGAGTAACTGGAGACGTTCCCTTCGAATCAGTCTCTCATCATTATGTGTGGGGAACGTATAAAACCGTGTGAAAAATGCTGGTCCCAGCTCGAACAGAGCCAATACAGTAGACTAGGCACATGCAGTAGCAAGCAAAGCATAGCGACGCTCTCGCCCTGCCTCCCTTAGGTCGGGTACCAAACCTAGTTGAAACACCCAGATGCAAGCTTGGCAGAGAGCCAAGGCAGTGCCAACACCTCTGGCGCACTCCCTGTATACAGTCAAGCAACACTGGACTAGTGTGATATAGGAAGTGAAAAAAAGGTACAAACAAAGGTACAAAGGTGCTCACATACTGCCAGCCTGTATGAGCGGGCACACATAAATTGAAACAAAATTTAGAATTATGGTATATTTTTTGCTGTTTTTTTTTTTTTTTTAGTTGGCTTTTACCCATGGCTGTATGAGAATTTCACAACATTCTCTTAGGTCGTGGGATGCACCAGAGTTAAACGCCTAACGTGCCTGGGAGGGGCGTGTCTTCAAGCGCCTTAGTTGTCCAATGGCTGTTCAGCCTTCTCCTCCTGCACAGACAGGACGTGCAGTGCAAAAGAGGGAATAGCCAGGTTGTAAAATCTCACAAAAGTGTTCTGAGATGACGAGCCCGCTGTGAGACAGATTTCCTGAATAGACATACGCTGTTTTAATAAGATTAGATTGAAAAATAAGATTTTGACAGGATCCTGAGAAAAGTAATATTTAATTTTTATAACTTTGTGTTTTTGTTTGTTTGTGCTTTTTGATTCCCATATTTTTCAAATTAAAATCGTTTTAAAATCTTCTACATACACTATTGTTCAAAGATGTTTTAATGCTTTTAAAGAAGTTTCTTGTGCTCTCCAAGGCTGCATTTATTTGATCAAAAATACAGTAAAAACAGTAATATTGTGAAATATTATTACATTTTAAATAATCTTTTTTCTATTTTAATATATTTTAAATGTAATTTGTTCCTGTTATGCAAAGCTGAATTTTCAGCATCATTACTCCAGTCCTCAGTGATCACATGATCCTTCAGAATCCATTCTAATATGCTGATTTGCTGCTCAAGAAATATTTCTTATTAATATCAGTGCCGAAAACAGTTGTGCTTTTTATGTAAACTGTGGTACATTATTTCAGGCTGCTTTGATGAATAGAATGTTCAAAAGAACAACATCTATTTGAAATAAGAGGGAATGTTTTTACTGTCAATTTTGATCCGTTTTATAATTCCTTGATGAATAAAAGTTACATTTTTTTTAAACGTTTGAACGGTAATGTATGAATAAAATGTGTAAAGATTTCTTATACAGTATATAGCTTATACAATGTCCCATTTTGTGCAGTCTTTGCGTGTACTTATTGGACACTGGTGATTATGTATGTATGATTGTATAGCTTACTTCTTATTTGTAAAACTGACGGTGTTACAGCTGACCCCATGTGACATCCTTCTGCAGTCTCCTCTAGTTGCACTATGCTAGCAAGGTCTTATAGTCCAGCTCTGTTAAGAATGGAGCTATGATGTACTTGGAAATCGAAATAATTGAGTAATATCTTTGAACTGTTAGTGCCATAATTTGGGAGCACTTCAGTTAGCTCTTTTAGAACGGTCCACTTTGGATTGCAGTCTCATCAGCATGCGTCGCTCCTTGATTGCTGATTTTACATTCCTTGCCGCCTTATCTAGAGATAAAGCTCGGGGTGAAAATACAGTACAAAAAGCATCAGAAGAACATTCATTTCCATGTCAATAAAGCAGAGTAGAAAAGGATGACCTTTTCGGCCAGGGCCCATGAGAGCGATGCAAATACCATTCTTTGTTCTGGGAGGTAAACACCCAGTAGGCAACCCCCGTGGACCCAACAGCAAGAACGGTTCAGTTAATATTCACACCGTAGCTGAGTTGGTGAGTCAGGGGTCCATACTGCCGTGTAGGATGATTCACTATTAATCAAGGTCTTGCAGGAAGGCAGTGAGCCTGAGATCTCCATCTCGCTGGCGTTATTTGAGGGAAGGCTGCGCGGGACTATTATTCAGAGTTTATGTGTGTGTGTAAAGTGCTAGAGGAGAGAGTTCATACTCAAGAATAAGTACTAATGTGACCCCCCTGCCCACCTCAGGTCTAGTGCTTGGAGAAATCTATTTCTGAATGCACGTAACCCCCTAGGAAGAGGCTGTTTGAGGCAGATTGCTTGACTTGGAGAAATACCACATGGAGTTGAGCAGAAAATGGCCTTGAATTGGAACCCCACTAGACACTAGTTAGGACTGACAGAATGCATCTCATATTGAACATTCACTGCTCCGTATTGTTTCGGTCTTGGATATTAGAGCATTGATGATTGCAGATGCAGCTGTGGCGATAAATAACTCTGAGAATAAACCTTCCCTTATAGCTTGATCCAAAAGCGTGTGACTATTGCAGCACATTACAGAGAAGGTGCAGACTGTGGTAATTTGAGTATATGAAAATCCATCCTTTCTTCAGCGTCATGTACTGTAATCATGCTTTGTAAATATAGAAAGACTAGTAGCTTATTCAAGTGTGCATCTAAATCCTATTCTGTCGAATGTACTACAAATGTTTCAGACCTCTTAAATTCTATAATTTGTTATGTTTTTGGTCTAGATCCAGGCTGGCAGACTTCCACATGAATTGCCAGACAACACCGCATTCAATAACAAGCTGTCCTAATGATAACTACCACGGTTGTCTGGTGTCCTACGTTGGACTCATTGGTGAGTGATTATGGGAAAAATCTGCTGCACGGAAATAATAAGAATTTGGAATTGCATTTTAATGGACTGACTGTTTGGAACATGTATGTTGCCTTCTTTAGCTGTTTTAACTAGTGAGGCACTAGGAATTTTACTTTTAAGAAAGATTATAAAGATCAGGAGAACAGATGAAGGCAAGGGGTATTCAAATGTTTTGAAGCCCAGGACACCAAATATAGCAACCCCCTTGGGGTCCCTTTTCCTAAAATATAAATGCAACTATATATAAATGTATGCATGATACAGTTTTATTTTATACATAAATATGCATACATAAATAAATATTTTAGTTACATGATTTCTGACCAGTTTTTAGAAAAAAGGAAAATATTATCAAACAAGGTGAATGTAAATGTAGAAGCATATTTTAACAGTTTTGCTTAATAAATCATATTCGACATTGTCTTGACCTGACATAGTAGTAGACTTTTTAATCAAAAGTATCAAAATGACCTTAAAATCAAACATTGAAATTTATAAATGTTTCCATGAGTGCAAAGGACCAACCCGGAGCTAAATATTATATTAGTACTAGCTATTTTACAAAGTAACAGAAGAAGTTGCACCAAAATGCAATAAAGTTTGTTTGGATACACAAATATATTATTTGTCCTGAGCAATGTTCCCTCTATTTTTTTTCTTGCTGAGCAAAAACTTTCTCTAATGGGCAGACATTTCGGCCACCTGAGCAAAAACATTCTTTATATATAAAGATGACCAAAGTATACCAGACCTGTACAGCGCGCACACAAAAAAGTGTGTAACTTTTAATGTGCTATTTATATTTGATTTTACCCTTGATGTAACTAAATGATGCACATTTTTGGTTACCTGAGAAAACATTTTTTACAGTGCTGAGTTACTTACCAAGAAATTATATTAATTAATTAATAATTTTTTTTAAAATCTCACACAGAACAGTTAAATTCTTTATTATAGTATATATATTTTAAAAAAATGTGAACCTGAATTCTTTTACAGTTATCTAAAACATATCCATGTAGAGTTTGCACACTACTACACCTGTGTGTGACTGTAAATGTTCTGTGCCCATCATCCGCTATTTACACCACTTAATCAAAACACTCTTCTTTAAAACATGATGACGTCTTATTTCACATGTCATTATGTTTGCGTTGGCTCTCGTGTTAAGCTATTTCATCTGCAGCCATTAAAGAATTTCAGTTTCTACAGCGACTGATTCTGCGCACATGATTCTCTTTCTATGAAACCTGTTAACCGCATACACTGGTCCCAAATCTATAGCGACACCAACTCTATAGCGTTTTGCCCGAGCATTGCAATTATTTTGCATTTACTAGAATTCAACCTTTGCCCAACTAATTTTTGCATCTGTCCTGTGCGCGGCATATTATTTATTATGCACGGTCGCAACATAAGACGTGTGCGGCTGCGTATGTGCGCAGCTTAGAGGGAACATTGGGCCTAAGGCACAAATGTATTATTTTGAAATGTTTTTTTTGGGGTAACTTTCGTAAAACAATCTGAAATAATTACTACTTCAACTGTGTAAATTAGGCCTGAAAACCATCAGAGAAACTTTACATTGCATCCCTTTAGCCTTTTACCTAAAATGAATCCTGGAGGGTTAAAAATCTGGGGTAGTGCTGTGAACAAATGGATCTCTAGAAGAAAGCAGACCAACAACCTCTGGCCATTATACTCAGCCAAACAGCACATTATACTGCAGACAGCAAGATCTATAAACCAACATGTTCCCACCTAATTCATATTTATGAGAATCTCTACCCTTGGCCTTACAGGATCAGATGTGACTCCAAACTATGTGGATGCGAGCCACACCAACATCACCATTTCCCCTTGGTGTGGCTGTCGAGGCAGTGGAAATCACGAAGCTGAGTGCGAGGCCTTCCTCCGAGACTTCAGAGAGAACACTTGCCTGAGTGAGTGGAGATGAAACCTCTTGTAACCTCACGGCTCACCGCCTGAACAGCCATCCTTATGGGCTTAACCTGAATAGCACATTATTGAGAAATGCTATGTCTTACGGACATGTGATCTCTTTTGCTGAGGGTCTGTTTTTTCCCACATGAAATCTTTATGGCTTTTTCATGCATGTGTTTTTATTTGCATATGTGTGCATGTGTTTCGGTGTGCAGGAAACGCTATCCAGGCATTCGGTTATGGCACGGATGCGGGTCTAGTTCCCATCACTGAGTCTCAGTCAGCAGTCCCATCAGTACAGACCAATCTGCAACCAGCTATCATCACCAAACATGTCATCAACTCAAATGATGTCAAGCAAATAGACAGTGCATGTGTTTTCTCCACATGCGCCAACCTTCAGGTAGGTCTGAAAATTTGTGTTGTTCATTGCATTGTGTTACATTATTACCCAGTGAATCCAAGGCAAAAAAATGAAGGAATTTAAAGATGAAGTGTGCCGTTTTTTCAATATTAAAATACTTTTTCCTATTTAGCCTACATTCTCGGAAAAAAGGTACAAAACTGTCACTAAGGCAGTAACCTTTCAAAAGGTACTAATATGTATACTTTAGGTACTAAGATGTACCATTTAGGGGTAAATAGGCAGTGTTGGGGAAAGTTACTTTTAAAAGTAATGCATTACAATACTGCTTTACTTCGTAAAAACATACTTTTTATGGAAAGTAATGCATTATGTTACTTTTGCGTTACTTTTTGTCACGTGAGCTGAGCTTGCTTATTTACTTTCAATAATAAAAAAAACCCAAAGTTATATTCTTGGCAACTGTAAAGGCCCTTTCACACCAAAAGTTAAATTAATAAGCCTCAGCCTGTCTCTGCACCTCCAATTTATCAACATGGGGACAGGACAGCTGTTAGTGAATAAATGGGAAAACAAAGTAACTTGTGTTACTTATTTGAAAAAGAAACTCAGATATTTTCTTGTAAATTTAAAAGTAATGCATTACTTTAATTGTTACTTGGAAAAAAGTAATCTGATTACGTTAACTTGTGTTACTTGTAATGTGTTACCACAAACACTGTAAAAAAGGTACAAACATATTCCTTTAGCTTTTGAACGTTAGGACACCTCCCCAGTGACAGCTTTGTACCTTTTTTTTCTTTTTTTTTCCTGAAAGTGCAGTATGCAGTGACAATTATAAGTAAGTTATGTGCAGGTTGATTTCACTAGAAAAGTGTAAACACTGACATGCTGAGGTGTTTTCAAAGCATCGTTTGTTTGAGAATTCCAACCAACCTGACACAGCAACAGCTCAACCAGTAGTGTAATTTTCATTTTTTTCTCGGGTTAAAGGTTTGACATATTGCATTAGTTATATTTCACTGAAATGCTTGTATTGGATTATTTTACTCTACCCAATTTATGTTCTACCAATGATAAAACTCTGGTAGATGATAAGAGTCTGTACAGATATGTTCTGTATGAAAAGGACCAGGAAGGAGAAGAGTAGCATAGGAACAAGATTTTAAATAGAAATTATTATTTAATTTTCAAATAGAAGATGATAAAACGATTTTATGAAAACAGACTGTGTTTATGATTAGTACTATACAGTGATTTTCAAGTATTGCATTCCTTTCAAAATGTATTTTAGGTGTGGGAGTGGCATAGTTTTAGTTATGGTGTTTGGGCTACACTGAAAAAAGCTTAGTGTAGAAACAATTTATACTTATAAATTCCTAGTAAATATCACAAATAACTACAAAGAAATGGCAAGTAACAATTTAATTCAATGCTAAATTTTTAAGTAGACAAAGTATTTTCTTTTATATACACGTTTCTTTTTTTTTTTACAGTGTAGGGGTTAATTCTGATAAATTAGGACACTTTTTGCCAATGAGATGACTCCAATGACTCAGTTATTCTAAATTTACCTCTACAGTTTAATTGTCATCAGACTAGTTTTGATTGTTCAGTGGGTTGGTTTGGTTACACAGATCTAACAACCCTTATGCTAGTGCCACAGAAATTGCACAGTTCACTTTTAAAGTCATAAAACACATTACACTTTTTTTTTTGGTCAGTGTAGTGGGAAATAGTGCTGGTATTTCTGTAAGCCTACACTCAGTTTGGATAGTCCTGTATATGCCATACTAGCATCAAAATCGCCCTGAATGTCAGGATCAGTGCTAAAACCTATATCGCTGCTTTGTGCATGTACAAAAGCAAAACACACACATGCCATTAAACCGTGCTTAAATCTAGGCCAAACCTTGAGGACACCAACTATTACAATCATTAAAATAACTGAGGGAAGCAGAATACCT